TGGATATGAAATTTGGCCCAAAAAAAAGCAGATTAATAAAAAATGCAATAGTTATTAAAAATATTCTGGTGAAGGCCAAACAAAACCTGCTTCTAATAAATGTTAAACTTGACAGAGAATTTACAGCAGATGAAGTCACAGAAAGACTGCCAAAGCCGTTTGGAATGAGGGCACAGCCAAAAAAGATGAGTTGTTGTTTCTGGAAGATCTTCACAAAATGTACAAGATACATCCAGGTCTGATTTAAATGTTTTTAAATAACCTGTAGAGGGGTAGAATCTATGTAATAGTTTAAAGGAAGTTTCTTTTACCTTGTTGGTGATCAAAAATTGATCGGGTAGAAGCCAAACCTTCCTCCATGTCAAGTCATCCACAAATCTATTCCAGTATGATACGGCACATGGAAGAGATGCCATGTCTTTAAGAAAGAGAGTTTTAACTGCTTTATTTTTATTATTAGGAGAGCAATTAAAACATACTTAAGAGTTGGTCTACTAAAATGATGTTATTCTGGAACCATGAGTTGAAAAACAGAGACTTGTGTTTATAAAGAATGTTATTATTCCAGATGAAGTAGCGGTGAGGTGAGAACTTGTGCTTGTACATGAGTGTCCATGAGAGGAAGGCCTGGCGATGAAAGGCTGAGAACTTAACGGGGAGCTTTTCGACATTTTAGTTGCAAATCAAGAAAAACTTTAAACCACCAAGTTGGGATAAAATGTGATGGGGTATTATATGCCAGATAGAGGTAGGAGACTTGAAAAATTGACAAATCCAGTTAATTTTAGAAATATTATTCAATAAAGAAAAGGGAAGCAAGTTCAAACCACCATTTTCTAGCATATTCATTAGGGAGGATTTATTACGGAAGTGGGTCTTGTTTTTCCAAACAAAGTCAAGTAATAACCGATCAATCTCCTTACACACTTTACTATTAAGATCTAGAGCCAGGGCCGCATAAGTCAGCCGGGAGATACCCTCAGCTTTGCTAATCAAAAGGCGACCTCTTATAGAGAGGTCTCTTATGAGCCATGCTGAGTTTGCATTTTTTAATATTTAAATGGAGGCCGGATACATTGGAAAAGGTATTTATTACACTGATTGCCACAGAAATTTGAGAGTGATCTCTTAAAAATAAGGTTGTGTCATCAGCCAGTTGTGTTAATATTAAGCTTCTACCAGCTACTGTTATACCTTTAAGGGGACTAGAATGAATTTGATAGGCCAGAATTGGACTCACTAAAAGAGATAAATAGGGGGAGATGGGGCATCCTTGACAAATATTAAATCTGGCAGAAGTACCGCCCTTCAACTTGATGGATCTATTTCCATTTTTATACAAAGTCTTAATAGTAGCTTTAAAGAAAGGCCCAAAACCAAATTTGTCAAGAGACTGAAAAATGAAATTATGCTCAACGGTATCAAAGGCTTTGTTAAAGTCTAAAAATAAAAGGAAACTGTTGTCTTGAACAAGCTCAGGGTAATCTAGGAGGTCTAAAACAAGCCTAATATTATTGGTGATATGTCTGTTCCTCATAAAGCCTGATTGTGTGTCATCAGTGATTGAGTGTAGAGTTGATTTTAACCTTTTAGCAAGAGCGACAGCAAGGATTTTATAATCATTATTGAGAAGACTGATAGGGCGCCAATTATCAATGAGCAACGGATCTTTTTTGGGTTTAGGAATTAATGTCGTTAGACCTTGAGTCAAGGTGGGTGGAAGGACACCTCTTCCAATACTTTCATTGAAAACCTCTAATCTTGGGAAAATGTTTTGTAGAATTCTGTAATTAAACCATCAACCCTGGGCGATTTGTTAGCTTTTAGACAATTTATTGCATCTAAAATTTCTTGTAATAGAATTTTCACAAATTAGTTGTAGCAGTCGAAGAGCTTAGAAAGGAATCGGCAGATGATATGTTTTGATTGGAGGAATATAACTTTTCATAAAAGCAGCTACAGAATTGGGAAATTAATCTATGATGCTCTGTGATTGTATTATTGATTTTTAGCATGCCACGTGTATTGTTTGTGGCCTTGCTCTTTTCTAAATTCAAGAAATGAGAATTTTTTTCTCCTTCCTCGATCTGACAAAGGCACCTTTACTCTTCTGGGTATAGATATTATCTGGTTTAAGTTGTAATTCAGCTAACTCTTGCTGTTCTTCACTAGTCAATAGAGTGGGGCGAATCTGAGAGAGTTTTGAAATACCCAGTATAATATTTGCTTCCTCGGCGTTAGATGATTTTGCTCTGGCACTGCCAGATTTCCTCAGAAACTTACCACATTCAAACTTGAAAAGTTCCCAGTTATATCCAAAACTATTTTCATCTTTAGCTTTTGACCAGAATGCATGAATTAACTCAGAAATCTTTACCTTGACCTCTTCATATTGTAGTAATTGAACCAGCTCAGTGGCCTAGTGGTAGAGTGTCCGCCCTGAGACTGGGAGATCAGGGTTCGATTCCTGGTCGGGTCATACCAAAGACTTTGATAAAATGGGACCCAATGCCTCCCTGCTTGACACTCAGCAGTAAGGGGTTGGATTGGGGGGTTAAACCACCAAATAGTTCCCGAGCGCGGCTGTGTCTGCAGCTCACCGCTCCCCCAGGGGATGGGTCAAATGCGGAGAATAAATGTCGCACACACATCAGTGTGTGTGACAACTAATGGGACTTTAACTTTAACTTTAATTGACAGTTCAATTTCCAATAAGTGCATATGGAGTTGGAGTTTTTATAATCTGAGAGATTGATGGTTATCTGAATGGCTTTGTGATCAGTGAGAGGATTAGGGGAAATCTTAATATCGACACAATCTTTATTTATAGTTTTAGAGATCAACCAGAAATCCAGTCTAGTGTTTTGAACCAGTTTTGTTAGACCTGGTAAACATACTGGTGTCATCATTCTAAACCCTCCAAATGTCAACTAAATTAAATTTTTCCATGAAAGCCATGACAATGGAGCTGGAATCATTTGGTTACCCTGGTGGCCATTTGTCAGTTTGCCCATTCATAATAGTGTTAACATTACCTCCCAGACAAATTAGAGCATGTGTGAAAGTTTTTAAACCACGTTGTAACTATCTTTTCAAGAGAGCGAAATAAACTTATGTTATCTTTTCTGTTATTATAACCAAATACATTTGCACAGCAAAAATGTCTATGTTCCACCTCAATCATCTGACATACATAGTGACCAAAGAGCTCGCTCTCCGTTAAAAGAATCTCTACATTAAATCTGTTTTTTAGAGTTGCAACTCCTGCAGAATGCACAGACCCATGTGAAAACCAAATAGTACTACCCCATTGTGTTTTCCAAAAACTAGCATCCTCTACTGTAGAATGACTTTGCTGAAAAAAACAAATCTGATCTTTTCATTTTAGCAAATAAAATAAAGCTTTTCTTTTAGTTATATTGCGTAACCCCCTGGCATTTAGAGAAAATAAAGATAACATAACAACAACAAAGAACACTAACAGTAAAGTTAAAATATTATTGAACAACCTGTGTTGAATAGTGTATAAGATGGGACCACCGTAACTGGTACCCCGCTAAACCAACAAGTAAACTGCAACACATTAACTTGAAATTATGTTAACATACCCATATTAGCAGATGGCCAAAAAGCCACTCTTTGAATAGAAGAACCGAGTGATGCCAAAAGACGATAGTGAGGCTCTAATTCAGTGTTCCATTATGGCGATCTGCGAGATTTCAGTACCGTCAACAAAGCCCCGGCCTCCGATGACGTACGCCGATTTTCCTTCTTCTCGAGCTTTCCGGGTGGAGGGCCACAGTTTTTGATGTGAGTCGCGGTCGACTTTACACAAGTCCTCAAAGAAGTGCAAGTTATTTCTCTGCAAGAAGCTGCTGCCATTGGCCGCTTTCCAGATGTCATCTCGGTGTCTTCTGGCAGTGAAGCGCAGGATGATGGCGCTTGGTCTGGGATCACCTGAGCGCTTCTTTCCAACGCGGTGTGCCACATCAATGAAGTCGGGAATGTTCTCTTTCTCCTGGGGCAAAATCTCTTGGCAAACACGTATTATTTCCTGTCGACAGTTTTCTCTGTCAGACTCGGCAACACCGTGGAGCTTTAAATTCCACCGCCGCCCGTAACGCTCAAGTTCTGCCACTCGGTCCATGCACACAGCGATGGGTTTTTCATTTGAGACAACTCTTTTCTCAACGCAGCCTATCTTATTCTTTATCTCAACAATTTCTTCATGCACACTTTCCACTTTTTTCTCCAGCAGATCACTTCTGGAATGTATCAAGTTAGCAAGCATCGAAGCGGCATCTTCAGAAATTAGGGAATTGTTGTGCCGGGAATTACCGACAGCTGGTTTCTTCATAATTGGGGGTTTGCATGGTGTAACCGGGAGAGGAGGGAATTTGTCTTCATCCACTACTTGAGAGTTGCCGGCCAATGTACCGTCATAGTTATGGTTGTTGTTATTAGCTACCAAGCTAGCTACCATCTTGTTGCCATAGCTGCCTCTTTTAAGAGCTGATTTAGGCATGGTTACCCGCCCAGAAGAAGCCAGAGAGGCTTAAATTGTTGGTAGACTGTTGGGTAGGTTATTTTTAACACGAAAAAGCAGTGAAACGCGTTCAAAAAACGTTTGGGTGTGACCATAATGGCGAAAAATGTCCTACTCGGCCGCCATCTTGTTCGGCCTCTTAAGTTTAATGGTAACTGGATGGCTAGTCCCACGTTCGCGACGTGGTTGGCACCGGTTCCAGGCAATAGCTGGAAATTATAGCTTAAATAAAAATTTTAAAATAGCTTAAAAAAGGTCTTAAAAAGTCTTCAATTTGGCTCCCTTAAACCTGCAGATACACTGTCTCCGTCTACCTCCGCAGGGCTCTTACATCGATGCAAAGAGTGTGTCTGTCCCGACGCAGACGGAGAAGAATAAAGCAGGCTTAAAGCTGCTCCTACTCTTCTAAACTCTGTTTTTCTGGACTCATGTTCTCTTGTTCTCTTGCTTTTAGTGGCGTCTTCGAGCTGAACTTCATGTCCAGCCAACCAGCCAGTGGATACTACCAGTTCACCGTGGCTGTGACTGGAGACAGCCGGCTGGTGGCCAGTCACGTTGAGGCAAGTTGTGCCCTTTAAACGTCTCCAGCGGTGTGGTGGTGGGGGTGTTTCTGATGCTTCAGCTTCTCATGGGTCATGGGACAGTCCTTCATATGTCAGGTTTCACACGTTTGTTCTCAGATCTGTGTTAGCTAACACAAGCTAGCATACATAATTGTTTATAACAGGCATGTCCAAAGTGTGGCCCTTGGAATGGTTTTGTGTGGCCTTCAATTATGTCTCAGCAGGTTTTTGATGTGGTGGTACTTTCTGACATTTTTGTGTTCAGATGTTTCTAGAACGTCTATTCTGGACATGTTATTAGAGAAAAGGTAACCGTAGAATCATTTTAGGAGGCCTTAACTGTATTGAGATGGACTTTGACCCCCCCACCCACCCACCTCCCCACCCCCACCCACCCACCCACACACACACCCACCCACACACACACACACACACACACACACACAGAGCTAATGAGGATGGAGACGCCCGTGACTCAGACCACCTCTGGACACAGTTACCTGATCTTGGTTTGTCCACACTGAGACGCAGAGACGTGTTTTAGGACACATGCGAACGAAACGAAACTGAACTTCTGGAGTTACAAACATTTATCCAGCTTTGTTTTTATTTAAATGTTTAAGGGATGAAGATAAAATGTCGTCTTTAGAGAATGACTCCATGTTCTGTCGTTGCCGTCTCCTCTTCCAGCTCAAAGTAAAGGTGTCCACAGAGGTGTCAGTCTCCAACATGGACCTGTCTGTGGTGGACAAGGACCAGAGCATTGGGACCAAGACCACCAGGTCAGAAGAATGGACCAATAACTCAACCTGAACAGCCTTGTTTTAGAGAAATGGTTTATAATATACAGGACTGATGGGCTAACGGTTAGTAGGATCCCTCCCCATTCCAAAGGGTGCACTCCCAGTGAAAACTGTGGAGTGGTCCGTCGCTGAGTGTGTTTATTAAAGCTGTTGCATTGATCAGTTTAGGAGATGGGATCCTAGCAACAGGTGGTGTTGGTGGGTTGTAGTTTAGAAGGGCTATGACATCATCATTTTAAAAGCTGTTTAAATGAAGCAGCCCGCAGCTCCGGGAGCCATTTTCAAATAAAACACCGTTTCCATGTGCGCTACACAGGAGAGTAAATAAGCGTGTTCTTCTTCTGGTGTGATCATTCAGGGTGGATTATCCGTCCAAGGCCAAGAGCCCGTTCACAGCAGACAGCCACCAGAACTTCGCCATGTCCTTCCAGCTGGTTGACGTCAACACGGGTCAGGAGCTCACGCCTCACCAGGTGTGTAATCAGGCCCCAACCTGCCTATTGTTTCTGATTTCAGCTGCACGTCTGGGACCAAGCTGCTATTAAACCATCCGTGTGGTTGACCAGGAGGCTCTCCAACAGCACGCCCAGTCAGCAGAAAAGCCATCTGTTTAATGTGAGGTGGGTTTATCTCCATCACAGACCTTCGTCCGGCTGCACAATCAGAAAACCGGACAGGAAGTCGTGTTTGTGGCCGAACCCGACAGCAAGAATCTCTACAAGTTTGAGTTGGACGCGGCCGAGCGGAAGTCTGAGTTTGACTCCATGTCCGGTACCTACTCCCTCTACCTGATCGTCGGGGATGCCACGTTGGAGAATCCCATCCTGTGGAACGTAGTGAGTGTGTGTCCCGGCTTCAGGATCACCGCGGCATGACATGTTGCTGAAGAAGCTTCTGTTTGCAGGCTGATGTTGTCCTGAAGTTTGTGGAGGAGGAAGCCCCAGTCGCTGTGCAGCCCAAGACCCTTTATGTCCCTAAACCAGAGATCCAGGTAGCACCTCTCTGCTTGTTAGAGCTGATGCACAGAAACCGCGTCGAGTCGGCAGTTTCACTAGTGCAACATCTGTTTGTGTGCAGCACTTGTTCCGGGAGCCAGAGAAGAAGCCTCCAACTGTGGTCTCCAACACCTTCACTGCTCTCGTCCTGTCTCCCTTCCTGCTGCTGCTCATCCTGGTAAAAATAGATCTGGTGTTCTCTGTGTTTACTGGGTAATTATCTGAAGCGGGCTTTAACTGTAGAACTACCGTAGGAATCAAACGAACCTAACTGTCGTGTGGAGCTTTGCTGATGGAACGTTTACCTGTTGTATTGATGCTGATGTGCTGTCATGTCGTTAGGAACATGGTCAACAAGCCCGTCGCGCATGAATGAGATCACAAAAGCTGTGGAGTGTTTTATCTTTAGGCTTCCCACAGCGTAGTGTCCGTCATTGTTGCCGAGGATCTCTGCATTGTCCGTTTGGTGACAAACAAATGTTGCAGCTCTTTTGTTTGCAGGGAACAAATAATAATGGTTTTATTTCTCTCCACTAGTGGTTTAAGCTGGGAGCCAACATCTCCAGCTTCAGCTTTTCTCCAAGCACTATCCTGTTCCACGTGGGACACGCAGGTTAGTCCTCCCCCGCTAAAGAGCTCCGATTACCCCACACGCTGTGGTGAAAACCTCCGGTACAGTAATGATAAAGGCACATTCTTACAAAAAACTACTCAGCAGGGCAATTAATGCAGAGTCCACAATAAAACTCGTGTTTAAACCTTTCTGCAGTCATCAGAACCCAAATCAGTCTGAATTATAAATCCTCCTGAGAAATATAAACCGGCCATCCATTATTGTCCGCTCATTCAGGGTGGGATCGCGGGGGCAGCAGCCTAAGCAGAGAGGCCCTCTGGGGGAGAATCCTAAGGCGTTCCCTGGCCAGCCGTGAGACATAGTCCCTCTGGCGTGTCCTGGGTCTTCATTTAGGTCTTCTAGTTGGACGTGCACGGAAAACCTCACCAGGGAAGCGTCCAGGTGCCATACAGGGAGGGACCTAACAGCCCATATCAAGGGGCTTGGTACCCTATACTCACAGAGTCCCCCCCGCACGGCCCCCATAGTGACGCGGTTGATCGCCTTCTCCAAATCCACAAAACACATTTGGCGCTAACACATTAGCGTCGGTTCGGTCCCTTACGGACCAGAGTTTGGCTTCACATACGGGTCAGATCAGCGTTTTCGGTTCCGAGGCGACACTTTCAAACCTTCTCCCCAGCAGTCAGACTGGGACCGAGACGGCACTACGGACGTGTGTGTGTGTGTGTGTGTGTGTGTGTGTGTGTGTGTGTGTGTGTGTGTGTGTGTGTGTGTGTGTGTGTGTGTGTGTGTGTGTGTGTGTGTGTGTGTGTGTGTGTGTGTGTGTGTGTGTGTGTGTGTGTGTGTGTGTGTGTGTGTGTGTGGCACAAGATTACAAGGACACACACAACCAATGAATAAAATAATGTGGTTCCGAGTCTCCAAAAGCAACACAGCTCATGCCCGCCTTTGTTTACTTTATTATGGAGGAGAAGTCCCTCAGATGTATGTGTGAACACTACACCGCCCGTTGGAGTACGAACCCAAGCTATCCTGTCCCACCAAACCCGACCGTGCCAATGCTCACGTGTAAGCGCCAGTGAAGATTGGTTGGGCAAATTCCCGCGCACCCCACGTCAGTGTTCCCAACGGTCTCTAATTCATCATACAGGTTTTCAATTTTGTCAGGATCCTCATCTCGTGTCACTGGAATGTTGACGGTTCAAAAACTTGAGCTTCAAGAGCTCTTCTAAATGTTCCGCTACCAAGGTTTGACTGCTTGGAGCCATAAGAGAGAGATGTTTCATACAGAACAAATACAGACTTGGTGATGTGCTCTGAAATTTGAAGGAAGGTCGCATGAATGTGAGTTTATATGTACAAAAATATCACCTTAACAAGTCACTCCACCTGGACTCGTGTCCACTCTAGTTACTACTAGATCAGTGCTTCCTACATTTAAATAATAGTTCGATATTTAATGTTAAATAAATAAATACAGGCCATGTACCTTATAGTGTCTGCTGCTGGTTTGAGGTCAAATCATCTGATTCAGAATCCAGACTTTCCTTTTACTGTGACTCATTTCTTCTTCAAAAGGAAGTCGTGGGTGAGTTTTTGTGAAACTGAACTCTCAGCCCTCCTCGCTTGTGTCGTTTCAGCCATGCTCGGTCTGATGTACGTCTACTGGACCCACCTGAACATGTTTCAGACTCTGAAGTACCTGGCAATCATCGGCGGTGTAACCTTCCTTGCCGGGAACCGCATGTTGGCCCAGAAAGCAGTAAAGAGGTATGTGTCCTGATGGTGCCTGGCACAAATGGTTCCCAAAGAGTCCTTGATCCCAGAGAGAGAGAGAGTCCAGCCCCTTTGGGGGACAAGGACTCTGCTGATTTAAGAACTCTGTTTAATTCTTAGTGGTAGGGCAGCTTTCCATGTCTGTAGCTCCTTGGCGGGCCTGTAGGGCAGAATTTTAATAGAAAATTCTCCCCTAGAAGACGTTCTCATGTATAGGAAGAGGAGCACCGCTACAAGATCTGTAGAAGTGACCATCTGAGTGGGCAATTTCTTCACCATCAATATGTAGAGCTCTTCAAGGACCAGAGTGAGCAATTTGTAGCCTGTGCCTGACTGAAGAGGTCACTTTCATTTCTCTTTCTTACAGCAGCCTGTTTAACCGCAGATAGGACATTATAATTAATGATGTGGTCCAATGTCATTTCCCCCGTGAGGACATTGTCCCCCTCTCTCCTCTAAGATGGTGCCTGTCTTTCTTTCTTTTTTACTTCAACCCCTCGATCCACACCTTGCTGTCTCTTTACTCCCCTTTTAGGATCGCTGCAGAGCAAAGTAGTAGGTTGGCAAAGTATAGGAGCCTCCGGTAAACTCCCCCTCCCCTTTTGTAACAAATGAGTGGCTTCCAGGCTGAAGTAAGGGCATCCTCTGACACGGCATCTCCATAACATCTGGCAGTGTGCATGGCTGTGGTGCTCGCTCGCTCATTCCAACACTGAGTGTTCATGCCCCCCCACCCCACCCCACCCACCCACCACCACCACCACCGGTTTACGTCATTCATCCCATCATGATCATTAAACCAGTATCTTACTGGGCTTCGGCTGGCGGCGACGATGGCTTTTGACACAGACTTGGGGCATACAGTGGAATGGGAACGTGTGGGCAGTGTTGTTGATCTTTATGATTTTCCCGTATAAATCGTTGAGAGTGAGCAGATTTAGTGAAAAAACAAGTAAATAAGATCTTTAAAGGTCAAATTTTCTCATTTGATGTGGATTCTGGTATGAAAGCGTGCCTTGTAAGTTGTTCTCTGGGAGGAAAGCTCGTGTGCTGCTGTTTGAGGACGTAGAAGTCAGCTGAAGACGGCAGGATTTTGTCTGTTTCCTGATATTTGGACATCTCTTCTCTGATTGGCTAACAGCAACGTGACACTACCACCGATTGTTTGCTCTGCAACGTTGATGTTTGGCCTCCACAAATAACTCAAACCTGGAGGAGTTTTGCTGTGTGGTGGAGTTGCTAATGTTAATGGTTAGCTTCTGCTAGCCAAGATGTCCTCTGCTGTTACCTGGACGCTAAACCCAACAGCCTTCCCGTTGTGAGTCAAGTTGGGTGAGTCCATGAATGTTGAGTAGGGATGTTCCGATCACGTTTTTTGCTCCCGATCCGATTCCGAGTCATTTGACTTTAAGAATCTGCCGATACCGAGTCCCAATCTGATACCTTAGAAATGCGTTAGGAGAAAAGGAGAACACTATAGTTGTCCTCTAAGTTATATTAATCGTTAATGCGTTTCTTTCTGTGTTTAGCATTTCTTTCGTTTATTTGCCGTAAAACATCACTTGTTTAGGGAGTGCATGAAAAACCCAGAAGGACCGATCATTTACAATAATAATAGTTTCTCAGTGAAGCTGCTCTTCAACAAACTCATTTTCTGTTCTTTGAAAAGCTCTTTTTTTCTGCCAGGCAAGAGGAAATGAAAAAGCACTAAACAAAAGCTCACATCTCCGATGACCACTGGGACCAAGTTATGCTGATAGATGGCAGAATTGAGCTGTTTAATGTTCTTTTTGAACTGTAGACTAAATATGGCCGTTCTTAAGGTTGTGTGGCGTATTGAGCAGAGCTGATACAGCAGCCTGGAGGTCCTAGCAGAGAGAGCATATGCATAAAGACGTTTTCCTCCTGGAATGTTGACGTTTGGAGATACAACCAGAAGTAAAAATACCAAATCTCACTGACCTCTACTAGCGAGCATGCTAGGGGTCGCGTTGATGGCCACTGAGGTTTATTATGTTTTTCTGTCATTTGCTCTTCTATTGTTTTTTGTGATAACTATTTAAAAACAAGTATGGGGAATGTACACGATTTATTCTTCGAACGTGGCAAAGTTTTTTAGTAGGGATGTCCCGATATAACTTTTTTCACTTCTGATGCGATACCGATATTGCAGCCTTCCGTATTGACCAATACCGATATCGCTCCGATACGATATAGGCACAAATCATGCATGCTTTTACTTATTTCCTAGTGTGGAATGTATCAAAGTGATATTACTCAAACAGAAAACAAAAGCCAGCAACGGTAAGTATAAAAAACTGACCATTTTATATTAACCTTTGGTTGCATGAATGTGAACAGCTGGGGTTAGGGACATAAGGAAACAAACACACATTGTTCACTGACTAACTGCTACAAGTTGAGTGCCTAAAGTTTCAGTTTCACACACTGAGAAGATCATCAAGCAGTCTTTAATGATCCTGCTGCAAACACGATGAGGTTGGACGTGTTCATCATTCCTGGTTCTGTTCCACCAAACGTGTGCATGACAGTGTTGCACTGAGCCAGACCGTCTTTTTCATGGCCGGCGTTGTTCCATGCTACCTTGCTAGCACACACTGGTCTGATCACGTGGACTTTGCATGCTGGATCTGGGCACTGATGGATAGAATTGCTGGAATGGAATTTAAAGCGGAACGGACTGCTAATATCTGAGATTTTTGATGCAGTCCCATATCATTCGATAGTGTTTTTGGGCCGACACCAACATCGGAACGGGACATCCCTATTTTTTAGTATTGGCAAGACGAGACCATGCATGCTTAAAAGTGGGATGGAGCAGAATATCATTTCCATTACTGAGTTTTTGTGTTTGGACACTTTAATTTCTGGCTCTCAGTGTGTTTGCTGTGTTTACTCATTTTATTTAGGCTGTGCCTGCACACACACACACACACACCAAAGCTAACATTTCTTACATGTTTAGATGTCTAGTCACGAGAGCCTTATTAATGCTCGCCCTTCACTGCCATCTGTACTTGTGAAGGCTTTGGAATTTGTTCCAGACACATGCAGCAAGCCTGTGGCTCTTGCAAGGAAATTGAGATTGTTGCAGTTATGTTGGACACTCCCACATAAAGTGTTTTGACGTTGTCGCCTACAGTCGCTGCCCAGGAAGATGCTGGTTGTCCAACCAAAGCCACACCAGCTCTTTGCTGGTCCCTCAGACTGATGTTTGTGGTTGTATCATGGTGTTTGAGTCATGGTGTGTGTTCTAGACAGCCGTCCTCATCTTCACCATCTCTGTGAATTGTCTAGGGTGCACATCAACATGCATGACCCTCTTCATGTTGTCAGTACACTGACTAATGGGAAACAGTCCTCTTGTCACGTCTAACGGGGTTCTTCTCTCTTATTTCACCCACAGAATGGAGAAGAAATAAGGCCAAATAATCAAAAGAAGACAATGAAGATGGTCATTTTTGTGTTTCCATTCAAATCAGACTGAGAAAAGAGGCGTGGACATTTAGGAATTGAATCATTAAAATGCAGTAGGTGTGTGTTTCCCAACGGAAGACGCCGACAGATTCCCCCGCCGAGGACTGAAAAGCTACTGATCATTGCACCTCATCTTCCTGTGAGAGTTCTTTTCCTGATGTCCGACACGCCAGACTTTTCTAAGCGAGCTGGAATTTTCTTTGTGGTTTCCTGATGAAATTTGGTTTTGTCCCTTTTTTTTGTACTTTCCTCTTTTGTTGCCCATTTCACCTCATCAGTGACTCAACAGCAGTAGCACTGACACCTATTAACTATGCCATTGTTTGCCTGTGATGCTCTGTTTGATATGTCCTCGTAAAAATTTGGTAATAAAACATGGGCAATTTCAGGATGTGATGTTTTTGTAAAGAAGAGGGGAAATAAAGATGTTGAGGTGAAACTGGAGTTGTGTCTTTATTTGGGAGACATTGTGTTTTAAGTGCAAGCCCATTAAGCTTAATTACGTTTTGTTTGTTTGTTTTAGCTGCTGAAACTGTTTAGAAAGAGGAAAGCAGAGGTTGTCCAGTGGTCCTGACATATTATGCTAACGATAAATATGGAGGGACATGAGCAGAAATACTGTGGAGGTTTTTGGGTTCTATCCTAGAATCAACAGGTGCATTTATGATGTGTTCAATATGAATCATAGATTATTGTGTTCTCATCCTTTAGTTTCTTCACTTTGAGCTATAGTATCTAGGATTACCTCTCAGGTTAAATCTTTGATGACGTGAGGCCTAAGTTAGACCCACCCCCCTCCCAAAAAAGAAACGTCCTCTAGCGTCTGACAAGAGTCTATCTCAACCCGGACTTGTCAACCTTTACCATTCAAAAGGCCGTTTTCCCCCTCAGACCACCCAACTTCAGAGCAGGTGTCTATCTCCAGCGGTCAACGGGCAATCAGGTGGGGTACACCCTGGACAGAGAGCCAGTCCATCGCAGGGCAACACAGAGACACACAGGACAAACAACCATGCACACACACACCTAAGGACAATTTGGACAAACCAATTAACCTAACAGTCATGTTTTTGGACTGTGGGAGGAAGCCGGAGTACCTGGAGAGAACCCACGCATGCACATGGAGAACATGCAAACTCCATGCAGAAAGAGCCCAGGCTGGGAATCGAACCCAGGACCTTCTTGCTACAAGGCAACAGCTCTAACCACTGCGCAGCCCTAGACTGAAGTTATGTAGGAAAATGCAATAAACAGACCAAACTGATACATAACATGTTTAACATGAGGTGTCTGAATCGTGTATAATATATATATAATGTATATATACATACACATACAGGGTTTCCCCCAGCGCTTTATAAACCAGGCTTTGCTTGACCACCCGCCAGGCAAAGCATCATGCCCCGCCCCCCGCTCTCACGGAGAAGCGCTGCGGGATATATATATATATATATATATATATATATATAGATAGATATTTATAGATATATATATCTATATCTATAAATATTATAATCTGTATGAGGGACTCGACACACGGGAGGCGATCTGCGCCAGCGGCAGAGCCGTCTACGCGTTCTGTTCCAAGGCGAAATCGAAACTTCCGTTTTCATTGGCTGTGTCAGGTTGGAGGGAATTAAGGTTATTTAAGTGGTTCAGAGTTAATAAAGTGGTAGATATGTTTCACAAGGTGCTGCTAGAGTTATGTGAAATCTTACTTCAGATTTTACTATATAAAACAATAATAATCAACTTCTTCATGTTTGCCCGGAGATATACGGAGCATCCTGTCCGCTTATTGGTCAGTGAATGAAACCCCCGTTGATTGGTCCTCGTCCGAGCGACAGCGATGAAAAGTTGAAAATATTTCAACTTTCTGGGATCGCGTCACTGGGTCGCCAGTGCACGACACGTGCACGAGCGCAAAATTTCACACGCACGTTTTTCGCGTTTCGCTTAGTAGGAGGGAGACCCGCGATTATCGCTTTACCGCGCATGTCTCACTGAAAATGAATGGAGGAGAGGCGATGTCGCCTCCTGTGTGTCAAGCCCATAATAGAGGGATTTATATTTCTGTGGTGGAAACAATACCCATTGCACACTACTGCCAATTAGTGGTCAGTGTTTGAATTGCACCAAAAGAAAAGGAAAAACACTAAATGTTTGCATTAAGTTCTTCCAAAAAATCGATACACAGCTTTAAATATCGATGTAATGTCACAGCAAAAAATATTCCAATATATTGCTATATCGATATTTTCGTACATCCCTAGTTAATGACAAATTATTTTTGAGAAAAATCTGTTGAAGACACTTAGGGCCAGAAGAAATCGTCTGAGAAAGGTCAGAAGTGTAGGATTATAATCAGGGTTCAGTTTTTTTCTCAGTTTAAATTTTGAAATCAGTTTTTTTTTTTTGGAGGAGGCGAGTAAATATGTAAAAATCTGAGGTTTGTAATAAAAAGTTTTGTTTTAAAATTTTTCTTTTGAAGAGATATTAATATTTTAGAACCATGATATACAAAAAAAAAGCCATGTTGAAACATTACCGGTCCTTTCATGTCATTCTGTTGTGGAACCTCAACTTATTAAATGGCAAACACAAAAGCTGCTCAAACCTGCATTATTATCAAATCTAAATTTCCTCAGCGCTGCAAACCCCTGATCTAATTCAGTGGATCCCTTCCTGGACCGAACTTTTTTCAGTTGATGCATTTATGTAATCCTCACCTTGTTTTTATGCATACTTTACTGTTACATGTTGAGTAATTAATACTTTTACGCTTTGACAGCGTAGTGCACTTTTTAGTCCCTGTACTTAATAGACGCATGAACCGAACTGAAGAAGTACTGAACTAAATGCAAAATAATCAAATATTGCTGTTTAGATGAGTTTATCTTAACCCTCAGGCGTCTTTAGGGACAGAAATGACTGAATTTGGTGGTGAACAGTGAAAATCATAAATTTGACTACTGTTCTCCAAAATGAAAGCCTAATATCACAGAAAGCACAATTATTTGTTGCAGATGTTACCGAATCAAAACTGGTTTGAATGGAAACCAATGGGACGCTTTTGTCCGCTAAGATCAATCTGTAGCGACACAAGAACTATCGATGCAAAACTTTTAAATGTTGTCTATTTCATAGCAACCAAGACTGATTTATAATAAATACACCAGACTGAAAAAGTTGTTTTTTATGGAAAATAACTCTCTCTGTGTGTGTGTGTGTGTGTGTGTGTGTGTGTGTGTGTGTGTGTGTGTGTGTGTGTGTGTGTGTGTGTGTGTGTGTGTGTTTCATAAAATACAGAAATTACTGAGTAATCAAACTGGCATTTGATGGATGATAATCCTCAAAATGATGGAAGTTTTTATATGTTTGAGCAGATATGAAGCTATTTAACAGATCTATGAAAAAAGCAAATAAATAATATTAATGTATACATTTTTGTAGCCGTTTTTACCAGCGGACATCCTCTGAAGACTCAAGCGTATAGTAAATGAAAGCCTGAGGGTTAAAACCCTAAAGGACAGTATGCACAATCTGTCTTGTGGAAATTAAAGAGCAAGTCCCCCCCCCCCAATCAACTTTTTTTTCCTGATAAACTATATAAATGCGTGTCTAATCGTGCTGCAGACAAGTGTAGTCAATAGTTTTGTACTGTAGTTGTTAAAATTTTAATTTTCTGCCTAAAACTGTCGGTGTTGTTCCGTTGTCAGGTAAAAACTCTGCACTGCATTTGAATTTAAATCTGCCATCGCTATTGGCTAAGAGGTACCCTTGAACGTGAGCCATATGATGTCACAATGTCGTTGTGAGCCTGTGTGTGTGTGTGTGTGTGTGTGTGTGTGTGTGTGTGTGTGTGTGTGTGTGTGTGTGTGTGTGTGTGTGTGTGTGTGTGTGTGTGTATTTGTTAGCGCCCCGCCCTCTCGGTCTGCTAGGCAACAGCATTTGTTGCATTTTTCAAACAGGAAGTGGGAGTGGAGTTATACTCTGGTAGGGGTAACTTGCTCTTTAAAGTGTTAAAAACGCCATGATGGTGAGCAACGCTTTCTAAAAGCTGAAACATCAGATCTAAGATGGCGGACACATTGTCCACCATAATAAATGCTCATGGTTGTTATTAATTCCCAGCTATGTATTATTTTAGCTCAACATGTGTAAAACTGACCGTTTGTGCTTTGTAAGTGTGCTGTGCTGTTGAGAAGCTGCTGGTCGACATCCCGTTGTTCAAAACCCACAAACCAACTAGAAAGTCTCCAGAAATGATCCACAGCCTCTGAATATTGTTCTCAGCTTTAATAATGTTGGTAACAATTATTAATGTGTGTGCTTAAATGTTTTTATCAGGGCTTCTCTTTCAACATTTCCCATGACGAAGTTATGCTGCGTTAAAGAAAATGTTTTTAGCACGTATCAAATTATGTTTACCTGACGATCCCTCTAGATGCCACGGCTCATCAAATAGAGCTTTTCTGATGTCTCCCATCCCCAATAATGAGTCAGGCTGCAGATAGTTTCCTTAGATTTTAATAATAATAATAATAAAGAATATTAGCACTTTTTAATTTGTGAAATAAAATAACATTTTATTAATGGAAGCAACAAAAAAAGCAATCAGTGAAGATTGCTAATCTTCAGTTAGTGCTCAACTCAGCAGCCTGGAGAGACAGGACACTCAGGTAAGGTCAAACAAGCAATAAGTGATGTTTTAAACAGATGTTGAGTTTTGTTACCTGGGCCCTGTGTATCTCTGGTCACTCTGGATGGACGTGAGGTCTTCCTTAAACATCCCTTCGTAGATATCTGACTGACGCTTCATGTAACTCCCATCTCTGAGGTAAAAACACACAAATCAGATTCGCCAGGACATTTCTGAAAACCCGTCGTAGGCTTGTCCTCTCTTACCCCAGGCGCTTGCCCATGATGGTCTGCAGGAACTTCCTGGCAGAGATCTGGCCCAACACCTTCCTGTAACTGTTTGTAAAGATGGCATCAGCATGGCGCTCGGAGCTAAAATCAGAAAGTAGATCGGTCCCGTCAGCTTGGGATTCTCAAATCAAATTAGAACGAGGCTAAATTAGAATAAAAACAGGTCTCAGTGTTTACATGACTAAAAGTGGATGGAACGTGATGTCGTTTCTACCCATTCATATAAAAATCACAACTTCAGTCAGGATTTTAATTCATCTTTAGAGACAAAAGTAAATGTTAAATGTTGTGTGTTTTAGTCTCCGATTTCAGATAAACCATAATCAGCTGTGCACCACCAGGTGGCAGACTTGCACAGTTTAGCTGCGATAAAAGATACTATTTTATTTGATATGACTTTTAATAACACTAATAAATTTAGTTTACATCAAAAATATATCAGGCCGTTTAGGAACTATAAGAACTGTTGTAAAACTCAGACACTGGGTTTCAGCTCCAACTAGTTAAACAAGGACAAGTCAGCGCTGCTATAAAAGCAGAGAAGAGCTACGAGAGCCTGGATGTCTGGGCTAAATGGTACAGAAACCTATTGCAGAACATAAGAATCATGCAGTGAGTTGCTGGGGTTTGTTTTTGGAGGTGTGTCAAATGTAGCTGTGTGTTTTACCCTTGTTCTGCCACCTTCGGGTCAGTTTAACGTTCAGAAGGCGGATCGTTTTGCATCATTTGGAAGGAAAAACAAAATGAGGGCATGTGTGCAAAGCTGACAGTAACAAAATAATTTTAGTAAAGATATTTTATTTTGTCAGTTCATTGATTTAGCTATAGTTGAGAGTTAAAAGTGACATTCCTCACTCTAACGGATAAGATGACACACTGGAGCCCAGCGTGGTGGTTTGTGTGAGTACACCATCAGCACCTGCCGCACGTTTACAGGAAAGCTGCTTCAGCTGTCACCACTTTACAGGAAAAGATTGACAAACACCAAATAAAAAGAACATATTCTGTATACATTTATTGGTCCAGGTGGTCACACTCACCGCAGTTCTGCCCTGTCCCTGAGACGACGTGTGTCTTCCTCCAGTCTGTCTGCTGCGTCTTTTATGGACGATGTCATCAGGATGGACGTATCGGTCTGGCCAAAGCTGAGAAACATAAAACCAACTGAATGTCTTCGTTCTGCATTCAGACTCCCCCGGTTTACCCGGCAGGATTAAATATTCCACTTTTATCAAGTAAGCAAATAAGTTTTATTCTAATTCGGAACATTTGTAATTAGGAATTTCAGATGTTAAAAACTGTCCTTGTCAAATAGCATCGTGCAGCTTGAGTGCATGATGAAGATGCCGTGTCAAAGGAACAATGAAACACGGTGACTAATTCTGGCATCTTGACCCTCCTTTGCATAACAAGTGTCGAGGACACAGCGACGACTGGAGAAGTCAGCGACGAGGGGTTGAAAACATTTTCATCAGCATGCGGTGTCAGGTAATTTACTGAAAAACTAAGAAAAACTTGTTTTGTTTAACTATTTCTAACATTTTATCATATTTTAAGAGCAACAAGGGGTGTAGTTATTCGCTTATAGACATCAGATGTCTAAGAAATATCTCTAGTTAAAAATAAAATCATATTATTACGTATTTTACGTCAGATCCACTAAGCCAGCTTTGATAATCAGTCAAAAAGCATTTCCAAAACTTCCAAATGATTCCCAAAAATCAGTGCCAGATGAAAAAGTGTGAGGACTCACCTAATGGATGGGTAGAGCGGGGAGCCTGACAAAGAAATGACCAGGCAACATAACAGCAACAGCGCGGCTTTCTCCATCATCACAGCCGGTCCCGGAGAAGAGTCGACTAGGAGTAGAAATTACATTCAAAAAACGCTGAAATCACAGTTTCCCACCACCGGCGTCATCGCAAAGCAGAAAAAACAAAACAGACCAGAGTTGATGCAGGCAGATGTGTGAGATGGCAACACTTAACTCAGCTCTTAAACACACACACACACACACACACACACACACACACACACACACACACACACACACACACACACACACACACACACACAAGATATGTGCACACATGCAAGTGTGTGTTCACCTAGTTGTGTGTGTTTTGAGGATCCCTGCTGAGCCTCTACTCAGTGCCTTCCACTCTCATCGTCACTGGCAGCCAGCAAATGCAGGAGACACAGGGGCAGTGCTGCTTGTCCCCCCTGCAGCCGTGGTCAGTTTATACTGAACCTGGATTTGCTAGTCACACCCACATCCCACATCATCATCATCATTATCATCATCATCATTATCATCATCATCATCATCATCATCATCATCATCATCACCATCACCACCAACCCTCCCCTGAGATGAGCTGTTGGCATGCCTTGTGTCTCTGATAAATTCAAGAGTCAAGCTTTCCTGGTTATCAAGACCATTCCAGAACTGTGACGTCAGTTTTGTACAAAAACATTTTTGACGACGTTTTGCGCCAAAAGCAGCAGCAGCTACTTAAAATACAAACAACTTCATAATAATACCAATAATGCAGCTTTGAATCTCATTCCTAAGCAGTTTCAGTCTGGGTCCACCTTCCTGCATCTAATCAACATGACTCCCTCTCAGTAGAGGCAGTAGCGGTTTTAGGCACGGGCAGACAGGGCAGTTGCCCGGGGCGGCATTTTTTCATGACACAAAAGGGGCGCACAAGCGCGGAGTAAAAAAAAAAGGAAATCTGCGCTGCACCGAGGTTTTCTATTATCTGTCATATGACAGTGTCTGGATTGGAAACAGTAAGTTGGCGCCCCCTGCAGTTGCAGGCGCTCCTGCTGACTGAGAACGTTCACGTGCTCCGTGTGTCTAAAGAACAGGAAGGGGAGGGGTGCGGCGGGGGAATTCACCTCTGCGTCTTTCCCAAATGAATGAGCGTGCAGGGGCTGAATCAACTGTATTAACATGGCTAAAGTCAATCACATCTTAACGTTCTTCCATTTTTCATTCATAATATCATAAACACAGGCCTATAATTCTTTCAGGTTTCTCTGAATTGTGTGAAATGGCCGAATAAAAAAAGGAAAAACAAAACGATTTTGTGGTCACCCCCCCATCAAGGTCAAATTGTTTAGTCCTGACTAAAGGAAACTTACTGAGTCAGGAGACAAACAGAAGAGATGAACATAAAAAGGCTAAAACCACCAGGTGCCCGATTCAGGGGAAAAAAAGAAAAAAAAGCAGAAAGATAAAGGTATGTAGCTCTCATGATGCATGTTTTCAATTTTTTGAACCAGTTAACTGGGATTTTAACGGTTAAATGCGGTCAACTAATTGCTAACAGAGCTAATAGGGCTGAAATATTTAAACGAATATTCAAATGGTTTGAAAAAAGTCCTCGAATCGTTTTTTACTGATTCAAACTAGGATTTGTTAAATGCTCACTGCAGCCTGTGGCCTGCCTGAAAAACAACAAACACATGTTGATCATGTTCACATAATAATAAATAAAACAACTCTACAAGCAGAAGAAAACTTCCCAGTCACCACTAACTATCCTGTTTATTTATTGCAGATGGCTGCACTGATTATTTTTTACATGATTTGTTCTGTAAAAGTAGGTATTTTTGGTAGTCTACAGTTTTTTATGTCAGTTTAAATTACAATTTCAGAGGCAATTCTAAAATATTATGGATCATGATAAAGATCTATTGGAGATCTACCCAACTTTTGGACTGCTCTGTCAGTCACTGTGGCTCAAGCTGAGAGGAGCTTTTCAAAACTTGATCAAGTCATACCTGAGGTCACCTATGTTTCAGGGGCGGCTCACTAACCTGGCTCTGATTAGTATCAATCACTCAGTAGGGGAGCAGATTTCATGTGATGACATTATTGATGACTTTGCATCAAGGTTAGGTTTTAATTTTAGTTTGTGTTTTCTATTCTAAGTGCAATGCTGTAGTGATTATCTTTAGTTTGTTACGTGTGAAATATTTTTGCTATTTAGAATATTTATTATCTATTATGTTCATATATTCTTAATATTTAGTTATTGTTTGTTTTTGTATATTTGATTCTATATATTTTGATACAGTATATAATGTATAGTGCTTTACATTCTGACAACTTCATAGTAATTAATGTAAATATGTGCAACTTAGAAAAATGAATGTTCAATAGTCGTTCTAATAAAACATGCCTGTTTGTAGAAAACATGCGTGTGTTCATGCAGGTGGGGTGGTGTGGTGGTGGTGGTGGTGGTGGTGGTGGGGGGGGGGGGGTTGGGGGGGGGGGGCGCTCAAAGGGGGCCTCGCCCGGGGAGTAATTCGATGTAGAACCGCCACTGAGTAGAGGCTAACGACTCATCGGGGGTAGAGAGGCGGGGTACTCAGAGTAGTTTCGGCTCGTTAAATAACAGACGGCTACAGCTTATAAGCTTGACTCTCAGTTCAATTCAAATTCAAAAATACTTTATTGATCCCAGAGGGAAATTAGATTTATTTTAATTTTTTTTTATTTTTATTCCAGTCAGAATAGACAAAGCTCCTCATAAGAGAAGAACAACGTCTTGAAGAAACCAAAGAAGTCCAGTTGAACCCTTTGGATTACTATGACCTGGATGACTGAGAACCTTCACCAGCACTCTGAGATACTGTTACCCCATTTATCTGTGACATTTGTTGACCATACCAATAAAACAGGATGTGTACAATGGGATGCCTTTGCAGCAGCGTTATGAATGGGTTTCCTATGGTTAACTGCTTTGGATGCAAGAAGCACACAGAGACTGAGGAGGTCACCATCTCCTTTAGAGCACATGTCTGCACCAAGCTCAGCCAAGCTGATCATCGGTGATTTTTAAGGTGTCGTTGATTCTGTCCAAGACTTTTGAGAGTACGCTAGCCAGAGCAACGGGCCTCTAGTCCGGTAGAGCTAACACCTCCTTTTTAAACCATCGTTGTTATAAATAAAGCCCCGTTTATCCCATAGACCCGACAGCAGGAACATCTCCGCCGCTAACACTTGTAGTTCCAGTCTGAGCCTGTCGGTGGCGGTAACGCTCCACAGGGCGACAAACCAACAGCGACAAATGCACCGAAGAAGAAGAAGAATGAGGAGCAGGAGGCAGCGGATGTTTATGGGAGGAGCGCTTGTCCCACGTTTCCTTAATAACTAGAGCTCATTACACATTCAGGAGTTTAGCGGGACCGATTGTGTCACATCAAAGCGACAATTGATCCATTTGTAGTTTTACTGGTCAGATACCACGTTAGCTGCTAGCTAACATGAGGACTTTAAAGACCTTAACGACCTGTTCTCCTCTCAGGTGTGCGCTGCTTAGACGTTGTTGTAACTTCTCTAGCACTAGTCCAGAAAAGAAGAGGACATCTGTAACGGACAACTTCAGGACTCGGTTAGCATCTGGTCCAAGTTTCCAGGACTTTGTTAAGAAGGGAGTTTCAGTGGCATTAGGCGGAGCAGACCCAGAGGAACAGGGCTATCTTTCTGCAGACCTGGACATGGGGAGGTCAAGGAAAGGTCAGTGTGTGAGAGCCTCTCACGCTGAAGCTGAAGCTCATCCTTTCACGTGTTGTTGTTTTGCGTCTCTGCAGTGTACTTCGAGACTTACGGGTGCCAAATGAACGTCAGTGACACGCAGATAGCTCAGGCCATCCTGGAGAAGAAAGGCTACCAACGGACAGCTCATCTGAGCCAGGTACAGCCTGATGTGTGTCCTCGTTCTAACCCTCCCTCTGTCCTGTCGAGTGACCCCTCCGGGAAAGGTGACCGGTGAGCAGGATTCATGGTTCATCCCTTGAGGTCCGTGTGGCCGGGGTGAGGTGGTAGGACATTGGGAGGGTTGAGGTACGTAGTCCCACCTAGCCTGTTCCACCATGGGCCACCTGCACCAGTTTTAAGACCCGGACTGGTGCTGATGTCCCCAGAAGCCACTAAGGATTCATTTTCTTGGTTTTTGAGCTAAAGCTGATCTAAGATGATCTGATAATGAGATACATTTTTGATCCAAACGCTGAATCTGAAGCTAACCTCAGTGATGTTTTGTTCTTCTCGCAGGCAGATGTTGTTCTGCTGGTGACCTGCTCCATAAGGTCTGATCGTTCACCCTCACGCCATCTTTTATTTGTTAAAACCAGCCTTTTTGTGGCCAGATGAAAGTGACTCAAACGTTTCTCAACAGAGAAAAAGCGGAACAAACAATTTGGAATAGATTACAACAACTCGCAGCCATGAAGAGGAAACGATTAAAGATCCAGTCACCAATGAAGATAGGCATTTTAGGTAAGAAAGTGTGTGTGTGTGTTACAGTGAGACCACACTGACGAGTCTCTGCAGGCTGCATGGCAGAGAGGCTGAAGACGGAGCTCCTGGAGCGAGAGAAGCTGGTTGATGTCATCGCTGGTCCAGATTCTTACCGAGACCTCCCTCGCCTTCTAACCGTGGCCGACGGAGGTCACCAAGCCAGCAACGTGCTGCTGTCCCTGGAGGAGACTTACGCCGACATCATGCCCGTCCACCGCGCTCCTCAGAGCCACAGTGCTTTTGTGTAGGTCTTTCATCCTGAGAGTGGACTGCTGGGGAGGTAACACCCCCCCCCCCCCCCCCCATCGCTTCTGCCTAACGCTGTGTGTTTCTGTTGGCTGGTGGCAGCTCCATCATGCGTGGCTGTGACAACATGTGCAGCTACTGCATTGTTCCTTTCACCAGAGGCAGGGAGAGGAGTCGTCCCGTCAGCTCCATCCTGGAGGAGGTCCGTATGCTCTCCGACCAGGTGAGCCAGCATCTGGACCAGTCAGACACCCACAAGAGTCAAAAGTTGGATCAAATGAAGCAAAAAGGCTCTGAAATGCACAAAATTCTGTCACCTCAGAGAACGATTGTCCAGAGTTATTTTGAAATATTTGAAATTATTTTTATTCTGCTGATTTATTTAGTAGAAAACAAAAAACGTTTAGTTTTAAATGATGTTTGTCTGAAGTTTTAGAGAAAAAATCTCACGAATCACTGAACAGAGATGAATCCATCACGTTTTCATCTACAGCCAGTCAGCCTGATTCAACATGGCTGCAGGTCGGTCAGCAGATGCTGAGCTACGGCTTCAGATGAGATCCTGCAAGATGCAAATCAGCTGAAACTCCCATCAGTCTTCAGGATCTCATCAAAACTCTGTCATCATGCCCTGTACTAGCCCTCATTACAACAGTGTGTGTGTGTGTGTGTGTGTGTGTGTGTGTGTGTGTGTGTGTGTGTGTGTGTGTGTGTGTGTGTGTGTGTCAGGGTGTGAAGGAGGTGACGTTGTTAGGCCAGAATGTGAACAGCTACCGGGACGCGTCAGAAGAACAGTTCTGTGGCTCTGACGTAACGAAGCTCAGCCGTGGATTCAACACCGTGTACCGATCCAAACGAGGAGGTCTGCGCTTCTCGGACCTGCTGGACCGAGTTTCCCGTGTTGATCCTGCCATGAGGATCCGATTCACCTCTCCCCATCCCAAGGACTTCCCAGACGAGGTCCGTGAGTCCAGCTTCAAATGTGTGAAGGGATTTTTTGGTCGAGTAGGCAGGCGAGAGGCCGGCCCTTAACGTTGGCCAGTTTAAAAACCTGTCGGTGTCATTTAGTCAGACGTGTTCCTGCTGCAGGAAACAGACCGTCTCAATGCTTCCTGAAAGTTTGGGCTTTATTCTCCCGATTGGGAAGGTGAGAGTAGACGTGAGGACAGCTCTGAGAGCTGTCGTAGAGAAATGGAGCCCGTTCACCACGTTTTCAGGTGAAATCGGGTAAAAACGAACCCAGACCCACGTTCTTTCAGACTAACTTAGACCTCCCACACGGATGAGGCAGACTGAGACGACTCTGGAGCAAAACCACTCTTATTAACATTAGATTCAAGTGTTTTTGAGCAACCTGACGTGAAAGCCGGCCCTTTTTTCCCCTCCCTGATAGATTTTCAGGTCATACGATTTACCGACTCTTGCACCCGACGCGGTTCGGTTGGTTTCGTTGCTGATTCCTGCCCACCCGCCTGCTGTTTTCAGGTGTTGCATCTGATCTCCGAGCGGAGGAACATCTGTAAACAGATCCACCTTCCAGCTCAGAGCGGGAGCAACCAGGTCCTCCAAGCCATGCGCCGCGGGTGAGACGTGTAGCCGCAGCAGCCGCGTTTTAGAGCTGCAGGTTGTGTCTAAACCTTGTTTGTCGTGGTGCTCAGCTACTCCAGAGAGGCCTACCTGGATCTCGTGAGCAACATAAAGAGAATCATCCCAGGTGGGAAACAGAAATCACCTCTGAACTCAGCCGACTGGTGCCATGTTGCTCTGATTGCACGTCCAGCGATGTAAAAAAACCCACTGAAGTGTTTGTTTCTGTGTCAGCTGTGAGCCTCAGTAGCGACTTCATCTCCGGATTCTGTGGCGAGACGGAGGACGACCACCAGCAGACCCTCTCCCTCATAAGAGAGGTGGGCTACAACCTGGGCTTCCTGTTTGCCTACAGCATGAGAAAGGTGACCTCCTGTAACCTCTGTGGTCTCTAGAATGAAACCAAACGATGGAGCCCTTAGATCTGCTGTTGTGTGTTGAATGCATTAGAAGACCCACGCCTTCCACCGCCTTCAGGACGACGTTCCGGCTCACGTGAAGCGGCGGCGGCTGGAGGAGTGCATCGACGTGTTCAGAGAGGAAGCTTCAAGGGTCAACGCGGCTCTCGTTGGCAGCTCACAGCTGGTGCTGGTGGAGGGGGTGGGTACAGCGGCGTTTGTCTAGAGCCAGCATGATCTAAACCTCCTAACGGGACACGTCCTGATTAGGATTCTTTGTCTTGTGTAATCCCGAGTCTCAGTCCGGTCCTCGTGATATCGGGCTCTGGCAGACAGAACGTGGCCGTGATTAAGGTCCGTGCTGGTGAGTTTTTAGAGGAGGATCGTTGTTGGGACCGCCGCTGTCTGATCATTCAGCAGTCAAGCATCTTTGGGTTTTCAGATCTAAGTGTTGAACACCAGCTCGTCCCACCTGTGCCTGATACAAGGTGCTGCTTCCTCTCTGCCGGCACACGTGTGCCAGAGATGATGACCTTTGCCTTCATTAACCTCCTTCCAGAACAGCCTGTCCTCCAGTAATCAGAGGCTTCCTGTCTGCTCTGGAGGAAACGTCTCCTCCACTCTGAGCCAGTCTGAAGGCAGGCGAGTTCCTTGTCATCACAGAGATCAGGACCGTCAGCGCCAGCCGGGCGGACCTAAAGACCCGACGGCGTTTCTGAGCTCAGATGACAACAACTTTATGTGGTGATCTGACGCTCTCTGGTCGGTTTAAAGCACACCAACCAGCAGGGAAGAGCTGAGACTTTCATCCTAACGCAGAGAGGAAGATCGTGTTTTTATCGGCCGTCGGCCTCCGTTTCAGTGAAGCGGGGGGGGGGTTGTTGCATCAGGAGGACCGGATCAGAACCGCCCAACTAACGTTAGAACACTTCATTGTTTATAAAAGGGACGTCAGTCGGATGGCGGTGTGTGTAAACGTGGGTTTTATCAATCGCAGCATGTAAACCCAACAAACAGGAGCACAGCTCTGCATCCTGGCCCACCTTCAGCTCACATGGGGGGGGTGGGGGGGGGCACTCTGCTGCATGAACAGGGCAGAGGGAGAGGTGAATCTAATTATTTCCTTCAGAAATACACAAATAGAAATAGTAATTTTCCGCACGGCTCATTTTACGCGAAAGCAGAAGAGCTGTACCAGTACAGGGTTACTTTAACCTGTTGCTAGGCAACGCTGCTCAAATCTTGGTGTCTGTTTCTATTAAGGAAAGTAAAAGATCGGCCAAAGACCTGTGTGGGAGAACGGACGGCAACGTGAAAGTGATTTTCCCCAAAGAGGATGCTGCGTCGATCCATGCTGGAGACTACGTGCTGGTGGAGGTAGGCGGGGGGGGACACGAACACACACACCCTGTACAGATGTGGACCGTAGCGGTGAGAGTAGCTCAGCCAGGGCTTGTATAAAAACTCCAGAATCAACTGAAGGGTGATGAGCTAAATAAAACCGTCTACTTGGTCCCCTGTTGCTACAACTTCTTCTATTCTGGAGCGTTTGGGAAAGGCATCATCTGGAGAAGAAAAGCTGACTTGCGACCTGTTCCTGAGCCAAACGTAGGGTGATGATGTTTACCATTCTGTTCAGTCTCTGGCTTTTTGTCAGACTCTGAACCCGTAAAGCCCTGGAGCAAGTGACTCCGCCTCCCTGGCCAACTGGACAGTCGCTGGTGTCACATTTTTACATGAGGAACCAAGCTATCCTATAAATGTGAATTCCCAACCGACCCGAGCTGTTGGTAAAGGGTAGCTGATGATGATGAAGACTGAGCTCCATCAGTCTGGATCTGGGCCAGAGGCTGGTTGACAGCATGTCAGGGGAACCTGCAGGTCTAGACCAGCCCACACTACTAATGCTGACTCTTTCAGTTAAAACTGTTGTAGTGCTTGCCATTCTTCCCCAGTAACCAAAGAGACATTTGACAAAAAAATCTTTAAAAACGACTGAAGCTGAAGAGGTTCTGAAAACCAACCGTCGGTACATCAACGAAAACTCCGGAAGATCGTCCTGTTTTCAGTTTGATCAAACAGCACAACGGCACGGATGTTGCCCGTGACATGGATGTTCATTTCTCCACCGTAAGCTGTCTCCAAAGGCGTTTCAGAGAATATGGCAGTACATCCAACCGGCCTCACAACCGCAGACCACGTGTGACCACGCCAGCCCAGGACCTCCACATCCAGCAGGTTCACCTCCAGGATCGCCTGAGACCAGCCACCTGGACAGCTGCATCAGCCACTGTCACAAACCGTCTCAGGGAAGCTCATCTGCCTGCTCATTGTCCTTGTCAGGGTCTGGACCTGACTGCAGTTTGCCATCATAACTGACTTGTGTGGACAAACGCTCACATTCGATGGCGATTGGCACGTTGGAGACGAGTCCCGGTTTCCACTGTTCAGGGCAGATGGCCGACTGCGTGTGTGGCGTCGTGTGGGTGAGCGGTTTGCTGATGAATGTTGTGGAGCGAGTGGCCCTTGGTGACGGTGGGGTTATGGAATGGGCAAGCGTATGTTATGGACAACGGACACAGGTGCATTTCATGGATGGCATTTTGAATGCACAGAGGTACCGTGCTGAGATCCTGAGGCCCGCTGTTGTGCCGTACATCCATGAACATCACCTCATGTTGCAGCGTGATAACGCACGGCTCCATGTTGCAAGGATCTGTGCACAATTCCTGGAAGCTGCAAACATCCCAGTCCTTGCATGGCCAGCACCCTCACCAGACATGTCACCCGTAGAGCGTGTTTGGGATGCTCTGGATTGGCGTACTCGACCGCGTGTACCAGTGCCGGCCAATGTTCAGCAACTTCTCACAGCTACTGAGGAGGAGTGGACCAACACTCCACAGGCCTCAACCAACAACCCGATCAACTATGTGTGATGAAGATGATGTGTTGCCCTGCATGAGGCAAATGGTGGCCACACCAGATACTGACTGGTTTTCTGCCCCCCCCCCCCCCCCCCCCCCAAATAAAGCAACACTGTGCACATGTCAGGCTGGATTAATTACATGTACACACATTTTCAGATGTTTGAGTTCAGCTCATGAAAAATGGGAGCAAAAACAAAAGTGTGGCCGACAGACGGTGCTAGTCCACCAGGCGTCTACGTTTTTGTGTCTGTGGGTTAAACCACCAAACGGTTCCCGAGGGATGCCGTGTCTGCCGCTCACCGCCCCCACAGAGGATGGGCAAATGTGGAGTACAAATTTTAAACACACATCAGTGTGTGTGACATCTAATGGGACTTTAACTCTACATCATTGAACACACACTGAATATTGCATAATAAATAATTGTATGTTTCCATGTTTTTTTGAGCACACCATGTAAATATTCACAGGGTAGTTGGAAAAAGTGCACAGGCACCCGTAACGGGTAGTTGTATAATTATTCAATTCAAGTTTATTTATAAAGCGCCAAATCACGACAAGAGTCGTCTCAAGGACCTTCACACAGTAAACATGGTCAGTTCATTAAGCCAATCAGTAAAGTTTCCTATATAAGGAACCCAGCAGGTTGCATCGAGTCACTGACTAGTGTCAGAGTCTTTACAGCAATCCTCATACTAAGCAAGCATGCAGCGACAGTGGAGAGGAAAACTCCCTTTTAACAGGAAGAAACCTCCAGAGAATCCTGGCTCAGTATAAGCAGCCATCCACCACAACTCACTGGGGATCAAGAAGACAGAGCAGACACACACACACACCAAGCAGTGTTTCTATGGTGACATTGTGATTTCTTAGTAAATATTCTATTTGGTGAGAGATAAACTTTTGTATTTAACCTAGTGATTCTATAGTTAAACGGGTAAACTAGTAGTAGCACATCCAACGTCAAGGAAAGTTAATGTTATTATCAGGAGAGGGAGAATGTTTAAGTGGTTAGCAGCAGTGTTCCAGACGATGGCCCCCTCCATGAGGCCACCACAGCTCAGCAGAACATCATTGTAGCTTCTTCTGGAGAGAAAAACACTTAGAGAGAAAATAAAGTTAACAGCTGAAATAGCAGGAAATAATACAGTTAAAGAGCAGATTGTAGAAGAAAGTAGTCGAGTGTGGAAAGTGGTCAGTGTATCCTCCAGCAGTCTAAGCCTATAGCAGCATAACTACAGAGATAACTCTGGATAACCTAGCCTTTAACATGGAGGCAGGGCAAGGGAGAGCCATCTTTACTGACTTATTATTTCGAATATCTTTGTACTTCTTCCACAAACAGTTATTGAAAAGCGTTATCACATCAGCTGAAGATGAAAGCTCTTGTCTGGGAAGGAAGTGCACAATTATCTGTCATCGTGCTGTGGAATCTGATATGTGGTTAGGACAAGTGCTTTTCATGGTCATGGTCTCACGCACGCATGCACACACACGCACACACACACACACACACACACACACTAGCCATCAATGACTTTCTCTGAATGTCCTGCTTATTTTGTGTTTAAACTTCTCAACCATCTGAACCTTAAATCATGAAGATCAGACGTGACAGCCCTTCGTCGGCTGTCCACAGACACCGTGGGTTTACCTGGAACAGCTCCTGACACCAGGTTAGGGTTCGGCTGCTGTGTCCAACACGTTCCTCCACCTCCGAGCAGTACTGTAATATGCTTCAGCTCCACTGTTGGGGACTAACTGAACACGTGTATTTAGAATACTAAAGATGAGCAACTGCATTCAGTTAGTTACTATTTGAAAACTTGGTATTTAGAATACAGTTACTTTCCTGATACCATTGGAATACTTGTTTGTTTTTCCACTGAATAAATACATTTCGGGCAAAGTGTGTCTCTGCGTTGTGTAGGATATCTATCCCATAATGCCCTTAAATAATGCGCCTCTAACCTGACTGTGCATTGCAAGTTTTTGTCTCCCATCGAACAGTTGCCTCCCTGAGGGGAGCTGAGGGACAAAGATGCCTTCAACTGGCAGAAAAGATTTGTTTTCTGGACACGTCATACTTTTTTTGCAGCCCGAACGGAAGTCACTCTTTTTTTTTTTTTTCTGAATCTGCTTCCATCTTGGTTTAGTGTGTATTTAAGTCTAATTTATACTTCTTTGTCAGCTCCAGGAGGGAGAGACGCGCACGGACGGAGGCAACTTGCCCTCATACTTCTCCGTCTACTGGGGAGTGTTGCAAAGCAATTCTCCACCAGAACAGCAGAGAGCGTAGCGCTGTTCTGTGGTATCCTGTCATGTATCCGGTCCAAGATGATGTGTTTATATTGCGTTTTTCTGTATTTAAGAGACTTTTTAACATTTGTCCCTCATCCTCCTCCACCTCTAAACCCACGTTTCCCGTCATTTCTGTCCACAAATAAAACGCTCCTCAGTCCCCAGACATGGGGGGAATAAAACGTTCATATTTTTAGATTTTTCCGCGGTGTACTCAAGCTTCTCCATGTCTGCTGCTAGATATTCTCAGATCTGTATGTTTTTGAGGGCACAATCGCGGAGCTGTAGACGACAGCAGCATCCTGACCAATCACAAGCTTGCGTTCATTGTCTCGACAGATTGATGTTTAGAAAAGAGAGCTCGACTCCGTCCGTCCTTTCGGGCCTGTCGGAGAGCCCTCGAAAGGACAGATAATGGCGTAGCGTGCGTCCATCCCTACGCAGACGGAGAAGTATAAATTAGCCTTTGGGGTCGAGTTGTGATAATTTAATGACTTAATTCCTAACCAATCTGTAGAAATGTACAACACTGCTTTCCTTTTATGAGAGTTCATCATGTGGCTACAAGTAGGTAGAGGATATTTTAGTGATTAATTAACCTCTGTGTTTTTTCAGCTCAAGAATTGGGCCTAAAATCCATCTTTAGTATTTAACTTCAGTAGTTAATAGTTGAATTTTAGGTTATGTACAAAAAACACGACAGCTCTGAGAAGCCTGTCTGTTGTTTGATAAGTTTATTGATCTTGTTTATAAATGTTAAAATCATCAGCATACGGTTAAAGTTTCAACACAATCCTGCACTATTGATGTACAAACTGTACCGCGGTGGTCCCAGAACTGAGCCTTGTGGTACACCCATAGTGTACCACACCTGCACCCTTTGCCACCAAACTGCTTCACCCATAATGCATTGCTGTGTAAACAAAAATAGATTTACTTCAAACGCTAAAACAGACACCTGTCAACTAGTTTTGTTAGTCTGCTATAATCTCCGGGTTGGATGTCCTTTGTGTGTGTGTGTGTGTAGATATTATCAGCCACCTCACAGAGCCTGCGAGGTCGAGCCCTTGGCCACAGCAACCTGGACACACGGACAGCAACCTCTGGCCAGCTTCGTGGATATGTGACCTCAGACAGCACCATGATCAAGGACATCACGGGATGAAGACAAAAAAATCGCTTTATATTCTTTAGTCTGATCAGATTCACCTTTTGAAAAGTTCAATTTAACTTAATTATACTATTGATTCAAAGTATCTAAATGACTTTAATCCCATTTGGATTAAATAAATGTAGAATCTGCTCCCATCACCTGATTCTGACTGATTTTTCCTGATGTGTGATGATTTAGTAGTGTTTTAATGGGATTCTCCAGGCAGCAGGAAAACTGCTGCAGATCAGCACTCTGCAGAATCATTCCATAAAGTCAGAAACTTTGAGAGGAAATTTTGCCAAAGTCAGCAGCTCAGAGAGCTGTGATGTGCTTTAGAAGAGCACACTGATTTCTAAAAGCGGTGAGAGCGGTAAAACCCACTCTCCTGGTATTAAAGCTCCGCAGTAACACCACTGTCCCATCCACAGGTCACTTACTGCTAAAGTAAATACAAAAGAAGAAGTCGTGTCTCAGAAGTAGAGCATAGATCAGTTTAGGAGGAATTGATGTTGGCTGGTTTTCTTCCAGTGATTGGACTTCTTATGTACACTGACCCAGTTCAGTTCCTGGTTCAGGCTGTGAACGTGACATCTGTTCCAATCAGCATGTAGTCCTAATAACAACAAACAACAATTATTAATTTGAAACATGATTTTAAATCTTAAATGAATTTTTTCTCATACTTTCATCATTTGAACCTGGGGGTTCACCAGGTTCATCTTTCCAAGAGCAGGAAGTGGGTAACCCTTAGCAAGTTGCACTGTGGAGAAAACTGGTCGGTTAATTCAGATATGGATCCGTGGATGGTAAGGTGCCATTGGTGCGACTTTAATATATTTAGTCAGAATCGTGAACAAAAACACAAACTAGACAGGAAAATTCAACCTGGAAGCTAAACCTTCACAGCAGATGCCCCCTTGTGGTTGGGTGCAGTATGAGTCTCAATGAACTACAGTAGTTGTGCATGTATGCTGGTGCAGATTCTGTCATCTGGGACTTAGTACTTTAAAAGTAGACCAAACTTCTTGTCTTCATTTTTTAGATAATTCTTAATTTATCCTGAAACAAATGTTCAAATCTAATTCTAAATAATTAATTGTAGTTGATGACCTCCCACAGTGAGTTTTATGATACAATAATGGTAAAAGCTATTAGATGCATCACATCCATGGACTAATTCACGTTATCTCCCTTATAGTTGAAAAGGCAGGAACAAACTCACCATTCACCACGGGTATCACCACCACTTTGAGGACGGTTTGGAATATGCTGTTTAGAGTGCTGACCTGTAGTTAGGGATTAGGATTAGTTTCAGATGGATTTAAGGATCTAACAGGGACTATGATCAGAAAACGGGTCTTACCTGAAACAGTCCCACATAACTTGTGGCCAGAGTCAGTTTCATTCTGTGAACATTCAGTTGGAACTGGGTTGATCATCCTTGCGTAAGCCGTAGGTTATGAAGATGTTTATTAGTAACTCACCTGTTGAGGCTGACTCTTCCAGCGATGTTCAGCCCACTCACAAACACGTCGCTGCTGACGCTGCTCTCCTACCAAGGCAACATCAGGATGGTTTAAGGCTGGTAAATGGGTTTGTATAGCGCCTTGTTAGGGTTCTACACCCCCCAAGGCTCTTCACAACACAATCAGTCATTCACCCATTCACACACACATTTACATGGTGGTGGTGATGAGCTCCACTGGCTCCACCGCTCCCTCTGACCACCAGCAGCAGCAGGCAAGGCGGGTTAAGTGTCTTGCTCAAGGACACAACAGCAGCATTCTCTGGTCAGAGCTGGGATCGAACCTGCAACCGTCTGATGACTGGACAACCCGCTCTACCTCCTAAACTACCTGTTTGTCTAACAGCAGGCTTCTTAATCTCACCAGAACTAATTTACCATGTTTAGGACAAAGAGAGGAGACAGGGTTCCATTGGGTTGGACGGCATAGGCCGTCATCGTGCCGGTGACCTCAACTGTTGCATTTTTGGGTTGAAAAGTGATGGTGGGATTGTCCAAAGTCTTCAGCAGCAGCTTCATCATCAGACCAGGAAACTGCTTTTTAATCTGAGGAAATAAGCCTTTAGTACAATGATGGCAAGCTGCCAACAGTGTTTACACCTCCCGGTGAATCCCACCTGTGGGATGAAGACCCCAAACGTATTGGTGTTGAGTCTGACGGGAGATTCCTTGGGGACCTGTCGAGACGTAGCATGATTAGAGTAATGTCGTGAATGTTGATGAGCTGTAGTTAGAAAGAAGCAGCGGACCATGTCGTCTGTGATGTACAGACTCATAACTCCGGCTTTGTTGTAGACGAAGCCTGCAGAGCTGGGTGTGAAGGCAGACAGTGCGATGTACACCATGTTGTCTGTCTGAGGTGGCAGGGAGAAGGCTGCAGGGGAGAACGGAGGCTCCCGATGCTTCCCAATGTTGTAGAATTCACCCTAAACATGCAAAAACAACAGTGATCACAGGTCGGAATAAAAACACCATCCTTCATTCTGTACACATCCCAGTTCTTTACCTTTAAGCTCAGATCCAGAGAAGACGCTGTAACTATGGGAGAAGACACCATGGAGTATTCAATCTCAGCGTACTTGTCCACCTTGGCCAGCACTGCAGAAACACAGCAGTGTTAGTAAAATATAGTTGTGATTGGGAAGAGAGATGCTGTATACCATTGAGTGTTCTCAGTGTGGGGTTTAAATCTGCCACTGCTTTGACCACCAGAGGGCAGATCTGCAACGAGAAGAGAAACCTGTCCGTTGTAACAACATTACAGAGAGATTTCTAAACAAAAAAAGGAATGTTCCTCAAAAGGTCCTCGATACAAAAACCAGATCTAATCAAACCAAACAGCGACCCAACGTCCTCAAGAGAACTCTCATCCCTAAATATGGCCTCCGGTCCTGGACTTTATTTTAGGATCAAGAGAAACTGTTGGTAACACTTTACAATAAGTTTCCCTTCAGTGCATTATTATGCAATAATAAACAAAGGATCCTTTTATTAATGTGTCCTATGTTGTTTATTATTAAATGTCCTTAAGGTTAGGACACGGGTCCAGGGGGGTGTCTCCTTATTAATGCATTACTTAATATTAACATTAATGTGAAGTTGTTAATACTTTATTTAACAGATTATTGATGCTTATTAATGCACTAAGTAACATTTATAAAGGGACCTGTATTGTAAAGAGTTACCAAATAACAGATGTGTGTGTAGTTTTATTTATATGATTTATTTATGAGCTGACTAAATCTGCTGCAGGTTGATTCAAGTTTTGGGAAAAAGAAACCCTTGGGCTGCTTCGTCTCCCGTTTACATCCACTGTATGCAGATGTTTCCCTGTCTCCTTCTCACAGAACTAATCCCTTTGCTTTTCTCATTTGGAAAGCCAGGGTAGAATAGATTAAATTATCCTGATGGGAGCACAGGAAGTCACATGAGTCTCATTGGAGCACGGGCGCGTTGGTCACTATTAGTAGATGGATATGAGCCTCAAAAATCGACATTTGGTCCAGAGAAAATATTTAGACTTGATGTAAGTGTGGTACCGTCCCAATTCAACGTAGGGCTCCGATTCCAGAGTGATACCATGAATACCGACTGCATTTGAACACAAATCTAAACAGTCCAACATTATAAATATGTGTGGTGTGATGTCACCCTTTGGTGTGTGTGTGTGTGTGAACAGGATCTAAACCCAGAGAGGAAGAGTGATCAGTGTATTAGGTCTCACCTGCTCCTGCAGAGCGTCGCGTAGAGCCTTGTCTATAAACTTGCTGAAGAGGTTGTAAAGCCAACTGAAACGTACAGCAGTTATGGAGTTCAGGAGTCTCCAGTAAAGGTTCCATCACGTTCCTTCATGTGATCTGTTCCTTCTTACCTGGCTCCCCCATGAAACTTGACGTCGGCACTGGCGACGCTGGCTGCACAGTTGGCAACGTCGACCGCTGGCCTGCCCGTTTCATCGCTGCTCACGGCAATACTCGTCGTGATCGAAAGCCCGTTGACGTTCACGTCAAAGGAGCCGCTGTCCTTTCTGTTGAGACACACGAGTCAGCGCTGGGAGACAGAAGTAATTACAGTGTGAAAGGATCACTCACATCACATAGAGGTACTTGACCCTCCAGTCTCCATGCAGATTCATAAAGGCATCACCAATGGACAGTCTGACGCCAGTCCCAGGCACAAGGTCCAGTGCAGACTTCGGTAACCCAACGTTGACCAGATTTATACTGAAAGGAACTGGGCTGTTAGGGCAGGAAAGCCTCACAGGTCTCAGATTAGGTAGAAAAACTTTGGCTTACTTTGTCAAACTGTACTTGACGTTACCGATGGGAGACACACTCTGAGACCCTGAAAAGTCCGGGATTGTCACGGATCCGAGTTTCTGCTGCAGAGAAGTGATGCCCAGCTGTCTGCCTGAAAAAGCACAAGCAGGTATGATGATGATGATGAACCCCAGGACAGACCATGCTATGCAAAAGGACACTTCAGATGCAACCCTCACCATATTCAAGGCCTTTCTGCGTTAGCCTGACTTGCACACCTGGATTGGTACCAAAAGTTGTAGATGTGAAAGTCACTAGGACCAGACACCACGACAGAATCATCTCCACTTCTGGGGAATAAGGGACAATGTCAGATTTATGGTGGTGGCTGCAAAACAGAAAAGCTTTGCTTTTGTGTGTTTGAAGCTTTCACAGCTTAGTGAAAAAGGTTTGAGGGAATCATTCACCAAGCTTCCCTCTTTTAGATGACTGTGCTCTTAAAAAAACAAACAGTTCACAAGGAAATCCAATCAACAACACAATCAGCTGAGAACATCTCCCATGCAAGCAGAAGTTTGTCTACCACAAGAGATCTGGAATACTCTGAAACGTCGTGAGCTACATGGGTGAAGACCAATGGGCCATTCCCATCTGTACCGGGTCGGCCCGGGCCGGGTAGCGTAGGTTGTTTACATATCTGGGTGGCCTGGTATTTTTCCGGGCCAACTAAGGCTCATTCTCAGCCCTCTTCTTGAGGGGGTCTGCTTCAGGCCAACCAGAGCCAACACACCCACTGCTGACAGCAAATTCACACCTTCCATTAGAGCAAGCCTCTGATTGGTGGGTAGAATCAGCCCACATGGGCTTAAGGCAAGGATGTGTGGAATCAACCGGGCCAGGCTGGGGCTACCCGGCCCGGGCCGACCCGGTACAGATGGGAATGGCCCACAAGCCCCCACAATTCGGTTCTGAAAATGAGGCCAATGCGGAAATGAAATAAATTGCAGTTCCACCCTCATCCACTGGGGGCTGGTGTCAGAAGCGAGCAAATCCTCATTGACTCCCATGTTAAAAATACCAATTTCACAGCAGAAATAAACATGTTTACGGCCTGGTACCAAAACATGTTTTTGGTTTAAATGATCTAGTTTACACTCATGACCACTCTGAGGGGGTGAATTTTTTTTTCTCACTCTTCTGTTTAAGTGTATTAAAAGCCTAAAATGCTGTATAATTAATGAGCATCAGACCCACGTGACCACAGAGCTAGCTCCGTGGAAAGGCCTCAGTAGAGCCTCGGTCTGGCTTGGAAACTGTTCCGGGATTTTCAGTCTCTCAACTTAGACCATTAGTTGTAGCATTTGTGCGTTCTTTTTTGGATATTATTTGTGCAATTGTTGGACAAAATGACTTGCTGTGGCATTAATTGCACTAATAGAGCGTCCAAGAAGTCTCCACTTCATTTTTTTCGGTAAGTAAAATTATATTTATGTATTTTAGGTCACTGCCGAGCTGAGCTTAGATTTTAACATGTACTGTTTAACCATGAAATTTAAATGTAATAGGGTAAACCCCAGTGCATTTAACATAATGCTGCACTTTAGAAAATGGGTTGAAATATAACATGTTGGTGGAGCTGGGTTCCAACTATCAGTATGGTCCCCTCCCCTCAGCGACAGCTTGGCGCATCTCTGTTCGCAGCGGCGCTTGTCTGCTGTGCGGCTGCTAGCTTGTGGAACTCTCGGGAGACCTCTGTGTTCCACCCGGTTTTACCCAGCGGTCAGCCCAGCGTATCTGACTCAGAAGCTCTGGTGTTGTGCACAGTTAACTCCGGTTGTAGCTAGGTTGCTACCTCCGTTAGCTTAGCTCCCACCTCCGCGTTAGCTTTGGGTTAGCTTCAGGTTAGCTTGTAGCTAGTTCGACCGGGTGTCGTCAGTTGATCCCAGTCTTACAGCCTCACCCTCAGCTCCACCTCTCTTCCCTTTTGTGGAATTGTCTGGGCTTGACGGAACCTGTGACACGGTCAAAATGGCGGTGGTGGCCACCTCCCATTTTAGCTCAAAAACATATTATTGGAGCCTATGGAAACCCATTGTCCATATATAAATGTCGATGGTGAAGCCTCTAAAAGATCCAGCTGTCATGTGGTTCCTTCAGATGAAATACCATGACCTCGTCAGCCAGCAGCTTAATGAAATCAAACTGAGGCTCAACATCTCAGTCAAACATTTCAAGGATGCTTAAGCCACCGTGGAAATGGTGCAAGCTTCACAAATAACAACGTGAAAGTAAAAAAGTCTAAAAGACGTGAACAGAATCAGGCTTTGGTGATCCATGCGGAACTTAAACTGCTCAGTCTAAGTTAATAAACCAAAGTTAATAAAGTTTCTTCCACTTTTACCAAAGGAGGCGTGGCTGATGCCGACAGTGTACTAACACAATGATTTGAAGGTAAGTTTAAGTCGTCTATATTGTTGCTTTTCTAACTGCAGATGGAGGACACCAATAAAATTAAGGTTGTGGTCAAAATCCTCTATTAATCTAATGGAAACACACACACACACACACACACACACACACACACACACACACACACACACACACACACACACACACACACACACACACACACACACACACACACACACACACACTTACCTGGAGCAGAGCTGGGAGGAATGTACGACTTCTAGTCTCCTGCGGAGCGTCTGACTGACAGAGGGAAGCAGCAGGAGGCACATGACTTCTAACTCAGTTACTCAATCAGGAACTGAACCTGGCAAAGGGACTTACCCAGAAGGCTTCATGCAAAAACTAACCAACTCGCCCTCTCTGGGTTTTATCTCATAGAAAATCAGCAACAACATGAATGTTTGTTCTGAGATGTTGCTGCTATTGTTTGGATTTCAGTGGTGTAGGCAGTAGGGGCTGCATGACTTCATTTTTTTAAAAGTCGACCGTCAAGTAATGAAAATCGAGTCGACTTCGACTAGTAGATACAACCCCTAGGGCAGTTCCAGTAAAGCAGCGGACAAACAACTAAACATGTACTTCCTCATAGCTTCTCTAGACAAGAGAAACATTCATTATCACATCATAATCTATTTTTTATTGTGCAACATAAAGAGCTATAACATTCGGTAGCATGTTACAGTAAGGGTCCCTTTATTAATGTTACTTAACTTTAATAACTTAACGTTACAAGCAGAGATAGGGGATTGTGGCATCGACAAGTCATCTCAATGCCGTGTTTTCTTCATTTCAGCAGCTAAACCAGGTGATGTCACGATTCCCATCTGCATTAACCTTTCTGCTTAACCATATCATGTAATGCTTTACCAAGCCGGTCCTACCCTCTGAAACAAACTATAAACTGCATGAGAAGAACAACAAAGAAAGGTCTAAAGCTCTAAAGAGGGCGGGGTTTTCTCACCTAACCCACCAAAATCACATTACACGTCTCAGAGTTTTTTATGGTCTGTGGAAGAAAGATCATGCTTTTCCTGGTGGAATCTCATGTTTTTATGGAAATTTCACGGTTGCTTTTTCCTCAAAGCTGCAGGGCAGGAAAGCAGACTGGATATATAACAATGTTTCAGTGTTCGAGCATTAATTAATGACTCAGGTTAGATTTGATTAGGAGAAAAGATCCAGACACTCATGTGGGATCAAAGTAGCCTAGTGAACTAGACCAAATTCTTGTTTTGCAAAGAATGGTCTAAGCATTCTCCATTGGAACCTCAGTAGCTCCTACCAGGACTCTGGCTAGCCAATCACAGCTCTCTAGAGGGGTTTCAAACACATAAAGAGCTGTGATTGGTCCATAGTGGTGGGCTTATCATAGTGCTCTATCTGCTTAGTGAACTAATCACAGAGCTTTATCCACTTTGTGGGCCAATCAGGGCACTCTATATGCCTGGTGGGTGGGGTGATGCAACAGAGTGAAACAAGAGTATGTCACTATGACATACGTTTACATGCAGCCAATATCTGGGTTATGATCGGATCAAGGTCGGCATTTGGGTTTCTGAGTTGATCAGAATAACCCGTTTACAAGCATAAATAGAAAGAGTTACCCCTAACTTGCATAACCCGATTTAAATGCGGACGTTGGGGTAGCGTCAGGACGTGTGGACTCCGTCCAGATGCAATATGCGTCATTTCCGGTTCTTCTCGTTCCGGTATCCGTGAAAACAACAACATGTTTCCCAGTTCGGAAGAGATAGCGACCGAGTTTGTTTGCGCTTTAGTTTCCTCATCACTCCGAAAGTGTGGTGCTGTGCTGCGACTCGCCATTTTGCTCCCAACTTGTTGTTTACTTCCGGAGTTCTGGCGCATACAAGACGTCTCGCTACTCAAAAGACCAAGATTCCTTGCGAACAGAGCATGCGCAGAACACACGCTTTGATGGGGATATCCCGGTATGCGTTTACACGACCAAACATTCGGGTTAGAAAAGGGTTACCCCAGGTGTAGTAACCGGGTTTTTAAAAACCCGGTTATGAGCATATCCGGGTTTTTGGCGGTGTTTACATGGCCGTGCGGAACCGGGTTATTGTGAATATTCGGGTTTTAAAAGGGTTACTGGCTGCATGTAAACGCAGGAATGCGGAGATCATTTGAAAGACAACGGTAGAACCCGCCCCACAACCGAGAGCCGTCAATGGAGCGTGGCCAGACTAACATTTATTTAGTCTGGCTTGCCAGGCTAGGATCAAAGCACACCTCTAAACAAGTTGGAACGTCACTCATCACACACACACACACACACACACACACGCACACACACACACACTTAGAAGAGAAAAAAGTCTGATGTGTTGTGTAAAAACTGCTATTTTTAGCATATTTTTAGGGCCGACGTGTTGCTACCAGACGTACAGTGTGAGCAGTCAGGTCGTATCCGAGAACCGGGTCGTACAGTGTGAGCGCATGACTCGTGAGATCTGCCCTGCGAGGAAGTCGTACAGTTTGAGCTGAAGCTGAGTGCTACGAGTGAAAAAGTCGCACAGTGTACGCCCGGCTTAAGCGGGACAAAATCCCACAAACCTCCAGTTAGTTAGTCCATCACAGTTGTCCTAGGGCATGTTGTCTGGCGTGTGTGTGTGTGTGTGTGACTGGATGTTCACATCTCCTTCTTGAATGTCCGTACTGTGGTGGAGGTTTTTGGGACTGCTGTCATCAGGGCCACTTTGCTCCCTGGGGTCTGCAGAGGTAACTGGTTTGCAGGTGAAAGGCGACACAAGGAGGAGTTGTTAAGAAGACCCTTCCTGAACATCAACACCAAGTTCTAGAACGCTCGACACGAAAACAAAAGGGTTGCTTATCTGTACCGTTAAGTTGGGATCAGACTGTTGCTTAGGTTTAAGCCACAAACAATCCAGATTACACCACCATTTTTGGAGGCCCTTGGATTAGTGTGAGAAGGCTCTCCTACCAGGGACTCCATAGTCTTGCTGGGAGATGCCACCCCTCATGTAGGCAATGACGGAGTGACCCAGAGGAGCTGAACTATCTCCTAGTCTTGAGTTAGCAGTAGCTCAGAAGGTAGAGGAGAAGGTGGAATGCTCCTTCCTGGGAGTTGCTGTTGTGACCTTGTGCAAGACACTTGACTGGTTGTTGGTCAGAGGGGGTGGTGGAGCACACCATCAGACTGGGGCCATGATGTAGTTCACTCACCACCCGAGTGGGAATGAATAGTAAAAGGACTTTTTAAACAATGAAGTTGAATGAAAGTACGCAGCGGGTGGTTTTGTTCTTTGTTTCAGATAATACAGGAAACAGAACTCAAGTATTTTTAGACATTTTATGTATGTAGCACTTATCGCAGACATAGAATCACAAAGTGCTTCACATGGATCAAAACCAAAGTCATAAAATCAGAATGATCTCAAAACAGAATTAGATTAACATCAGAAAATATAAAGTCATAACATTATAAAATTTCATAAACAGATGATAGATTACAAATCGAGTTAAACATAAGGAAATAAAAGGTTTAGGTAAAAGCAGCTTAAAATAAATAACATCTGCTTTTTAAAAGTGTCCAGACTGTCGATGCTGCGTAAGGAAGATCATTCCAGAGTCGGGGTGCAACAGTCGACTTTTTATCTGGTCTTTGGAACTTCTAGAAGGTTCTGGTGTGTGGACCTGAGGGCTGGGTTGGAGCACAAGGCTCTAACAGTTCAGTAATATAGGGAGGAGCCTGACCATAATTGATTAGAATCACATTTTAGTGATGAAAAATATTTCCAATACATTTAGTAAAGGATTATTAATATTTAAAATATTTGAAGTAGTTTTTTTTCAAATGGTTGAATTTTGTACTTGTTTATCAGTTCCAAAATTTAATTAATCAGTCACTGAAGGCACCGTGCTCTATTTAAGGTCTTTTGTTTCTTACAACCAAAAATGCTTTTGCGCTCATAAGGGGGTACTCGGCTGAAAAAAATATTTCACAGGGGGTACATCAGTCAAAAAAGGTTGAGTACCACTGATGTAGAGCATTGAAAGTTATAGTCAGGATTCTAAAATGATCTCTAAAGTTAACGGGTAACCAGTGCAGAGACATCAGAATAGGAGTGATGTGTGCTCTTCTGTTTGCTCCAGTTAGGAGCCTCGCTGCAGAGTTCTGGACCAACTGAAGGCGGTCAAGGGCTTTTTGTTAAAACATGTGAAAAGTGTGTTACAGAAATCTAGACGGGAGGAGATAAAGGCATGGAGAACCATTTCAAGTTTATGTTTTGACACCAACCTTCGCAGTTTGGAGATATTTCTTAAGGGCTAAAAACTGTTTCGGACCAATGTTTTTGAGTGACCTTCAAGACACGTAGACTAGTCAGAAACAACACCCAAATTCCTCAAGTGTGAAGTTCTGAATGCTGGAGGTCCAGTGTCCAAAACACAGTGGTTGTTTTAAAACATCCCAGTCAAAACCCGGGCTCACAGACCCATGATCCACCGAGCTGCATGCTTGCTTAGTATGAGGAGTGCTGAAAAGACTCTGACACTAGTCAGTGACTCGATGCAACCTGCTGGGTTCCTTATATAGGAAACTTTTTGCTGATTGGCTGAATGAACTGACCTGTACTGGAATGTTTGTGTGAAGTGCCTGGAGACGACTCTTGTCGTGATTTGGCGCTTTATAAATAAACTTGAATTGAATTAAAAAAGTCAGACCTTCTGACATCTGAAATAAGATGTGGATGTTTAGAAAACATTTTACTTTTAGGCCAGAATTAGTCTGATTTTAGCCTCGTTGTGCCTCACCAGCTCTAGGCTTGGATAATTAGGGAACATTTTCCCAGGAATCAGAGACTATTTCTGGGGCCATTCTTCACTTCAGCTCCCACAGTAAGATCCAGAAGTCGCCAGAGTAGAAACAAACCCAGAAAATGGAAACATTCTTATTTACAGTACAAACATTATTCACGCAATGATACATTATTTGGTGATGATAGCTCTAAGTCTGAGCTATTCAATGCAAAAGAAGATGTTACTGTGCAGAGAGAACAAATATTATGCATCCATGCAGTCAGAATCTCTGGAAATCAAACTAAATGTGCTGTGTGAGGCTTTTTTTCTGGTAATGTCGTCGTAGCTCAGAAAACAAAGGCCTCGTCAGATCAGAGAGACTGTGACAGCTGAAATCCTCCCCGCTCAATGGGACCACCTGGACACCCACTTTTCAAAGCCTAATGCATGTGGACGCTCACATCAGGGGAGATGAAACCCACTGAAGACGCTCTGCAGGCTCACTACAGAGGAGAAGT